GTTAACCCATTTTCACGCAGGTGCTTTTTTATATTTGAAAGCTTGTCTTTGCCTAATCCATAAAGAAACTGGACCGTTGTTTGACAAACTGTTGTCTGTTAAAAAAAATAATTTGTGCACGGGCGTTTACAACCAGAAGTACTTTTTGTTTGACTTTGGATTGTTCCTAAAATTACAAGATCAAGTTCAGCCGATGTAAGTTCGGCACACTGCATTCGATGATAAAGAATATCTTTGAAACCTAGTGACAGACTACAAGGTTTTCCATTCTTTCCATAACTGCAACCTTCACTTAGTTTCTCTGTATTTCGGTTGTTAAACGAAAAGTAATTCTCTCGAACGTCATTTAATTCTCTGTTGAGATCTTTGTCATCTACTAGAAAGCCGCAGTCTTGGAAGAAGTTGTTATTCACAGCTATGGACCACCTGAGCTAAGGTAAAACAGCTTGATTCTTAAATGTGTGGTTTACTTTGAACTGTGCTAAAATACAGTTATGGCGGGGCCACTAAAAAGTAACACATAATAATACATAATAAGTATTGTCTGTTTCATAAAAGCACTCTCCAATCCTGCAGGATGCGTTTTCTTAGCGTTTTGATCGACGATGCTCAGTTTAAAAACTTCTCCTTCACTTCTCTTTGATTATTTTTTACCATTTCTGGTCGTTTCTCCCGTGGAAGCAAGCTGAAACAGCCTTATTTTGTCACACATTTTAATCTACAATGCTCAGGAAGCGGTGCAATAAATGAAGCCCGTCACATCAGCAAAACAAAGACTACTCTGTTTCTCTTTCCATGCACTATGTCTGAGATCATCAATTGCTATGAAAGAATTTCTGTCTTCTTATTACATTCAAACACCTTCAGCACTTCCGCAGCTACTATAAAGAGATGGACCATTTTATTTTGAAACAGGTGACCTTCCATAGGAAAACACGTCTTATCGAAAACAGTGTTTTTAGGGCATTTGAAACACCTCACAAACGGGATTTGACAGCATTTCAAATGCTTTGCAAACCCTTCGCAAACTCCTTACAAATGCTTGGAAAGTATTTCAAACACTTTTCAAACCCTTTGCAAACGCCTGTCAAACGGTTTGCAAAGCGTGTCAAACGCTTCTCAAACCCTTTGCAAATGCTTCTCAAACCCTTTTCAAACACTTCACAAACCCTTTGCTAACTTTTCGCAAACCCTTGGCAAACGTTTCTCGAGAGCCGGCGGAACCAGTCCACAAGGAATAAAACGCGCTTAGCAATGATTAATTTTTAATACCTTACAGTCAGTAATTAACTGTTCTTTTAACATAAGTAGCAAGATAAAAGGATTTATATATAGTTATTCAGTACGATGGGAAAGTGCAGAAATGCATTTAGAATGCACAAGTGCGCGATGTCAGTTTGTGTTTTGGTCACCTTTGTTTACGATTTATCAGCTGATTTGACGTGAATGAAAACTTCTCGTCAGTCATACAAGCAAATGTTCACCATAGTTTTCTCACAGACACAAAGAGAAAGGTAAAAGATGAATTTTAAATTTTACATCTTAAATGTCTCGCTCATCAGCGAGACATTTTTAGGGCCAGAATCTCACCCGTGTCTCGCTCAGAATTTTCGTACAGGATGACTATTAGAAGCAAACGACCGATTGTCAAAACCACCGAAGCCGAATAAAAACGCTCCAAAGGGTTTAATGTATTGAGCTTTTATGAAAATTATAACTAAGACGGCTTTTATTAGCATACAAACCCTTAGGCAAACGATTTCAAACTCTTTGCAAACCCTTTGCAAAGCCCATGCACACGCTTTGCAAACCATTTGCAAACTCTTTTCAAATGCTTTACAAACTCCTTTAAAGCGCTTTCAAACGCTTTGAAAACTCCTTCCAAACCCTTTCAAATGCTTTACAATCCCTTTTAAAAGCATTTCAAACTTTTTCCAAACCCTTTGCAAATGCCTTGCAAATGCCATTTGAGGGTGTTTGAAACACCCTTTGGCCCAAATTGAAATGTTCAATAAGATGTGTTTTCCTATGGAAGGTCACAATTTTGCTGCGCATCACACATGAATGCTTATAAACCTCATTTCAAGGTTCCAATGTATTATTCACAAGAACAATATTCGTTCAATTCATTTGATTGACATGCACGACTGGAAGATAAAGGCAAGTTTTGGATCACGTTTTGATTTCAATTTTTACGTTGCGTAAAATCGAATTATACAGTTCTCTTATATTAAGGACTGAGTAACACTTGTGCATTCGAAAGTGAAGAATGATCATGGCAGTTAATTTTCCAATTTAAGCAATTGGAAAGAAGAAGCCTGAAAAAATCAGGGCTTCAA